TCGCCCGTAATGATTTTGTATAAGAAATCTTTTCTTTTAAATCGAGTGAACAGAGATAGCGCCGTCTCTAGTCGTCGCTCCTTATTTTCGGGGCTCATCATGAGGAACCCATCTACCCTTCTTTTGAATTTTGCCAAGTTGATGTAGGCGATGAGAAATGCAGTGTTGAGTCACTCCAAGTTGTAGTGCAAGCTCTGTTTGGCTTTGAGCAGAATTTTCAGCCAAGAGTTGTTCGAGTTCTTCATCGCCGAAGTTTTGCGGTTGACCCGGCCGTTCTCGATTCGAAAGATCGAAATTTCCGTCTCTAAACCTCTGGTACCACTTTTTACACGTTTTGTGTTACAATGTTTCTTCCAAGAGCACTACAAATCATTTGAGTAGCCTCAGCAGCATTTTTCTTTACTTGAAATGCAAAAAGAATGCAGTGCCTCAAATGTTGCTTATCGACAGACATCGTGTTTACTACTATTTGTTAAGGTTATGTAAGAAGTATTTACTGCTTCGGTAACTGAATACTACCAATATACAAAATATTGAAATATTAAGTTTTTGAACGCAATTATAAACCACGAAATATAGGGGCACCTTATTTATTTGTACACCTAATAATATCAAAATGCGTCCGGAATTGGTAAACCTGTCGAGTGTTTTCTCTCTCAGTTCCATGGTCCAACCACTGAAATATAACTATACTGGAAGGTGTACTGCCGGGCTGAACGCGTGAGGAACGGTTTTTGTGAGATAGCCTATTAAGCTGAGGCCTGGTGAGGCCACCTGTCCTTTTCTATCCCTCTGCGCATGCGCTCTAAGGGCTAAACCACGTGATGGATCATCTAACTAGAAAGTTTAGCCGTCTGTATACCCGCAATGTTTAGCCCGTTTTGCCCGAGTTCGTTGTAATAATCGTCCAAAAGTTAACACGCATAAAAAAATAAATTATGAGACATGAACTGTGAAAAAAATAAATCCGCATAATTGAGGAGATAATTCAGGCATTTTTCACCAACCATATCAAAGTTATTTCCGTCTTCCCATTCTGTACTACAGACATTGCATGGGTGTTGTAAACCTCATGAGATCAAGATTATAAAAACAATTACTGCTGATTATATAAAAATGCGATTGAGAAGTTACGCTAAAACCCAGACAGTAGAAGTTTTAGGCTCGAGAGCGACTCTTCGACAGAAGTTAACCAAAACAATTCTGTTTTATAACGCTTAAATGTTTATGAATTGTTGAAAAATGATCATTCACATGGAATGAATTGTGCATTTATCTAGGAAATGATTAATTCTAGAAAAAAATATCATGAGAAGTTTTTCGTGGCTGGATAGATTTTTGACAAAAACAGTCTTTTGACATTTCCTCTCAGAATTCGCATTACTCGTCTTGACATGTTCTCAATATGTAGCCCTATTCCACTGAGCGGTTGCCAGTATTTCTTGAACGGACTGTACGACAAGGACAGGTGGCCACACGAATTTCTTTCTCTCTTGCACAGAACCGAGAGCTCAGTACACCTTCCCGTATAGTTATATTTCAGCGGGTCCAAACCATACCTTTCCCATGATGCTCACTGACATTCGAATCATGCGCCTGGGCGTGAGGGCGTACTTGCCCGGAAGCTCATAATTTTTCGAATCATTTATTCAAATAACTTCCTTATGAAATCTGAAAAAAATCTGAAACTTATACATGTTCTCAAGGAAGATTTAGTTTATCACCCACTAGTTTTTCTTCAATAGTTCTTTTTTTTTTTTGGGTGCCATGGAAATTTCCCTAATTGAAAGTGAGGTAACCTCGGAGGTTATAGCTGGAAGGGTTACGAAAACATCCAAATTTCATCATTTTTTTTCTTGAGACTGAGATCTGAAAAAAATATGCAAGAATTCTTAATGATGCAGCATACTCAGAATTTTCTCTTGTGAATTTTCCAATTTTTTTTCACTATTTTGACTTTTCAGGAAAAACACCTTAACGGTTAGGTGTAGAGAAAAATTTTAAAAACATAATCGATTTATTTCTCTTTATTTCTAGCGAGTTTTCCGATAAACGCATCGGCGCGCCGACAGCTCACGGGCTAACGCGCCGCCCGCTTCACTCCCACCTCCACAACTTTTTATAATAGTCAGGGAAAAAAAATTCTAGACAAAGAATGTGTATTTTTACATGTCAAACAGATTTTGTTTGAAACTGTTTTCCCTATCCGCAACCGTTTCCATAATATGATGGTGTAACAATTAAACATTTACTCAATTTCAGGGCCAGTGTATGGACTATTTGGCCCTCGTGAAATGTGATCGTTTCGTTATGACCTTCGTGACCCTTGTGATGTTTGACCATTCCGTTGTGATCCTCATGAAGTTTGAAACCCTTCAGAGTTCGCACAATGAGGGAATCCCAGTATTTTTTTTCGATTTTTTTTCTCGCGTAAAAATCCCGTAAGTGAAAAATTTCTAAACATTTGTATTTCTATTTTCAACTAAATTGAACGCATGGAAAATTTTTTTGGTCCATACTCACACCAATCAATTATTAAAATCTTTTGAAAACTAGACTCACAGAAAATCGCCGTGTTTACCCTCTAAATGTCAAAAATTTGTACCTAATGAAATCTAATTCTAGGACTATCGGTCGACTATTCTTCTTTTATATCCCCCGTTCCTGTTGATTGAAGGTTCGAAATTACCCATAAACGACAAACAACTGATTTTTCCCTTTTTTTCTCACAAATTCGCAAAATACACGGGGCTGTGGATCGCCCACCGTACAATCAGTGACGTGTGGCGGAAAGGTGCGAGCACTGAAGGGTTAATTAGTATATTTCGTCACTTAGGCCGAAAAAAACTTTTCTGGCGAATATGAGGTTTGCAGCACGAGCCGAAGGCCAGGGCTGCAATCATATTCGTCAGAAAAGTTTTTTTGTCATTCCGGCCGTGAGGCAGCGCTTCACGGACGCTCCGCTCCACGTCCGTGAATCTCTGCCTACGGCCGTCATAACAAAAAATACTGTTCGTCATACGGCCAAAAAAAACTTTTCTAGCTCATATGATTGCAGCCCTCGCCTTCGGCTCGGGCTGCAAACTCATATTCGCCAGAAAAGTTTTTTTCGGCCTAGTGACGAAATATACTATTATGACGAACAATATTTTTTGTCATGACGGCCGTAGGCAGAGATTCATGGACGCGGAGCGAAGCGAAGCGTCCGTGAAACGCTGCTTTACGGCCGGAATGACAAAACGATAATATAGGGTTACAAGGAAATACAACGTTCAAACATGTTAATATCCTTAAAGTTGTGTCGTGTTATCAGTGTTGTTGTGTCAACACCTAATACTACGTTGAAAGACAATTCCAAGTTTTTGGTTTTTTGAGGAGATTCGCATAAATCAGGAATAGGGACCATTAACCAACCAAATCACTCGGAAGAGTAATGGTTCTTGCCTCTCTCTCTCTTTGAGTTGTGGATATAATCATAACGAACAAAAGACGAAGATGTGGCGTCATTGAATGCTACCCTCCCAAGGATCAAAGAAAATCTTTCCCACGAGTGTCGAACTCCATTTTTTATCACAATGTGTGGAAAGTGGGCCTTTAAGTACGCAGAGTGAGCGCACAATTTCACTTTACGCACAAGGGATGAATTAGTACATTTCGATACTAGGGCGCATGAAAAATTTTCTGGCGAATATGAGTTTGCAGCACGAGCCGAAAGCGAGTGAAAATTTTTCTGCGCCCGTGTGTCGAACAATATTTTTTGTCACGAGGGTCGCAAGACAGCATTTTAGGCAGGTGTACCTGTGGCGTGCCGCCACAAAAAGTATATTGTGTTACTAGTGCGTAAAGTTCTACTTTTATACAGGCACCTGTAACGCATCCTATGTTGTGGTATCTGCCGAGTTCACGGTTTGGAATGGTAGTGGGGGTAATATTCTTCTTGTTGTGCACGAGTGCGTAAAGTTCGAGAGCATGCATAAACTGAATTTCGAATACGTAAAGCGAAACTTTACGCATGTGAATTTTAAGTACGTAAAGCGAAGCTTTACGCATCAGAATTCACTTTACGCACACCGTGCGGAAAACAACCTCTTTACACAAACTAAACCGTTTCGAAAAATTGGTTACTTTATCCCAACATAAAAAATTGGCAGCTTAAATTTGAGCGATTACAAAGCTTTCATTCGGAAGCAAAATAGTATATTTCGATACGATTGCGGGCAAGTGTTTTTGGGATCGTGGGAGGTTTATAGCACGAGCCGAAGGCGAGTGATATAATCCCACGAGTCTAAAAACACTTTTCCCGCGAGTATCGAACCCTATTTTTCATCACAGTGTGAGGGCAGTGGGGTTTTGCGCAAGCTCAGCGCGCGTAAAATGTCACTTTACATACAGCGTGATGAAATAGTATATTTCAGCACGTGTGGGGCAATTTCGTCTTTAACGTGTGTGGGGTTTACAGCATGAGCCGAAGGCGAGTGATGTAACCACACACGTTAAGGACGAAATTTCCCAACAAGTATTGAACAAAATTTTATGTCACGAAGCCTGAAACCGGCTGAATTAGACACGAGACGCGAAGCGTCGAGTGTGTAATCCAGCCAGTTTCAGGCATGAGTGGCATAAAAGAATATTTAGTAAAGCGGTAGTCGAACAACAGACAGATTCACTTTAAGGTTAGTTTAGGAGGAATAACTCCGAATCTATACTGTAACTCTTGATTTGTTTTAGATAAACTTTCCATCAAGATTCCACTATGGGTCGATTGCACCAAGCGCTGTAAGATAGTTAAATCGTTGGGTTAAATTTATTACAATGCAAACCTTATGGATTAAGTGACCATGAATTGGGGATTTATTTAACCGAACATGGTGCAACTGACCCGATCTGTCAGATTTCACAATATTCTTCAAAATTTGGCCTGTCAGTGGAATTGATATACCCCAATTAGCTAGTTAATTTATATATGAAATGAATATCCAGTCATGTAATGTATAATTTTTAATGTTATTTTTATTTTTTCATCTAGCTTACGTCCATGGATACCAAGCTCACTCTATCGGAACTCAAATTCTGCACACAAGAGACTGTAATTTTAGAAGAAAGATAAGTTATTGAAAATGTTTTTTCGTATAAAATTCAAAATACAATAGAAATTTTAATAACGGCGGTTTCTTTTCCTATAAAAAATTGTATTTATTTTATGATAATTCATTTTTTTCATAGTCCGATAACAATTCGAATATGCTGTGTTTTATCCTAGAATTTAAAATTTATATGCTGTACTTTTTTCATACTATATCGTATTAAACACGAATGAAAAATGTCGGCTCTATTTTATAAGAAACAAATAAAAAATAGTCAGAAGATCAATCAAGTGGAGAAACGATCGAAATCGTAAAGAAAAATTGTATTTTATCTCCGCAGAGGGATCCGCATACTCATGATTCGTGTATTGTATGTGTTAAGCAGAGCATTTTTTGGAAAAAATTAAAAACCTAAATATTCAAATAAATCCTTAATTTCATCCACCACTCTTCCACTTTCAGACCCTTTATATCACTTACATGAATTCAATCCACATTTAAATGTCATATTCATATAATAAAATATATTCTACAATAATTTTGATCATAAATACAACGAGGCCGCAAAGACGATATCACGTTTCATAATTTTGATAGCCTCACTGAATTTATTTTCTAAATCAGTATTCCCAATATTCTTCGCAGCTTGCGTTAATTGCCTTAGCACTTCCTCCAAACGTCTCATGCATCTAATGATGGATCCCTCAAAAATATCCGTCATCTTGCAGATCTGAAGAAAACTTGCGCCTTTGCACCAGGCATACACAACATCCATTAAGAATGGTTTAAACCTTTCTACATAAGAATCTTCATCAAGATCCAAATTAGCCTCTGAGGAGACTTTAGAAATCCTCCTGGCAAGATCCTGCATCTGTCTCAATGGTCCACTCAGCTCATTAGTCGCTCTTGGCATTTCTGAAGATTTCTCATCACAAACAAAGCAACTCAACAGTGCAGCAACTTGTGGTATATTCAGAGAATTAAATAGACCGTTGAAAATCATCTCCGTAAGCAATAACTCATCAGCGCCATTTAACTCACACGCAACTCGTCCCTTAAGCTCGATTACATCTGCAGCCGTGCAGTAAGCCATCCTTCTCAAGACCCTCTTCCTGCACTTCAATTCATCCATCTGCAAAACCGACTTCGCCTGTTTCAGCTCCTGCTTCGCCTGTTTCAGTTGTTTCCCTACTTCTTCTTTCTTTGAAAAATTATCGTAAATTACATCAAGCTCTGGATGCTTGTGCAGAGGATGTGCGTACAGTCTCTCCTCTAATATTTCAATCTTCTTCACAATGTTTTTGAACATCGAGTCCTCTATTCTCATCTCGGTTATTGGATTCAAAAGTGGAGGACCATCCGGAAATCGTCTCTTTACTTCCTGAATCGTCTTCAAGACACTCCTACGATTATCTGAAGGTCTCAGATCTTTGGGGTAATAGAGTCTGAGCGAACTTATTTGTGAAATCAAAGTATGTAGAACGGGGACAACTTCAACTTCACCTTCCTCACCCCTGGCACACGGAATTGGAGCGTCTTCTTTGGAGTTTTTCGATACGTGGAGAAGAACGTCAACAATTATAAGTGCACTTTCTTTGGGATTTCTAGAGTTCTTCTTTTTGAAGTTCACTACGATTCCCCAATCGAATGTGTGTTCGTTCTTTATCTTCACCATCCTACCAGGCTGTAAGAATGGTACAATGTACTCCGGTTTTGTTAAATAACTTCTGAAGTCCTCTCCTAGTTTATCCAACTGTTCCCTGATGTCGTGGTAACAAGCAATTTCCGTAAACTTTCCGACTTTGATCTCATCATAAGATTGCTGTAGTTCTTTAACTTTATTGTAGAGGTCAGGAATAGAGGCTTGATTCTGGAATTGATAGAAACTTCGCTCTAGCATATATTCTGGGTTGATTTCCTCGACTCGAAGGAGATTCAGGACCATGTTATAGGTTAGATGAAAAGCTGAATTGATAGGATCTGCTTTTCCCTGAACAATTGCCTTCCCTACTGCAGGACTGACTTGTTCATCAATCATCAAGATAACGATTCCTTTTTCATCAAGGCCTCTTCTACCAGCACGTCCAGACATCTGAATGTATTCACCTGACGTGATCCACCTGAACTCTTTCCCATCAAATTTCCTTGGGGCTGTGAATAAAACTGTCCTTGCAGGCATGTTTAATCCCATAGCAAATGTCTCAGTCGCGAACAATGCTTTGATCAAGCCCTCACCGAAAAGGATCTCCACAGTCTCCTTCAAGATTGGAAGCAAACCTCCATGATGGATTCCAATTCCTCTTCGCAAGAGAGGAAGAACATTCTCCACTTGAGGTAACTTTTTATCCTCCTCGCTCAACACATCCATTGCATTCCTGAACACTTCATCTACTAAGAGTTTTTCTTGAGGCGAATTAAAGTCCAACTGTGCCATTTGCATAGCATAAAGCTCGCAATCCTTTTTAGAAAAACTAAAAATGATGACTGGAGCGAAGTTTCTTTCCATGATCATTTTTACAATTTTGAAGATGTTGGAAGAACCAGAACCACCTCCTCGAAACCCTCCTTTCCTCCCCTTTTGGTCACCTTTAGAAGCTTCACCAGACTTCTGAAGACAAGCCATAGCTCTGTTGAAATTATCTTCTTTGAACTGGCCATCTTCGTTTACTACTAAGTGAATGCCATCGCCTCCAGCAGGAAATATGAAGTGTTGCAGTGGGGTTGGACGGTAATCAGTATAAACTACATGGCAAGGTTGATGGTGAAGATGCGCCACCCATTCAGCGAATTGGCGAGCATTGGGAATGGTGGCTGAAAGGAAAACATAGTGGACATTATCAGGTAGGAGGATTAATGTTTCCTCCCACACAACTCCTCGCTCCTTGTCCCTCATGTAGTGGATCTCATCGAAAATCACCCATCCTACTTCTCTCATCACTTCGGATCCTCTGTACAACATGTTTCTCAAAATTTCTGTGGTCATGATGAGGACACTGGCTGTTGGATTTATCGTAACATCTCCTGTGACGAGTCCGACGTCCTTAAATTCTTCGTAAAATTCTCGATACTTTTGGTTGCTCAGAGCTTTGATTGGGGTTGTGTAAATCACTCGTTGCTTGTCCCTTAGAGAACATGCAATTGCGTATTCAGCTACCACAGTTTTTCCTGCCGATGTATGGGCTGAGACCAGGACTGATTGATTATTCTCGATGCAGAGGATCGCTTCTCGTTGGAAAGGGTCGAGAATGAATTTGTATTCTTTTGCTGGAGAGCCTGTTTTAATCTCAAGCGGAATGTAGTCATGGTCGGGGGGGACAGCTACTTCGTGGGTACATGACTTAATTGTTTCTATTTTGTGGATCTTTATTTGAGAGACTAATTCATCTAGACTGTGGATAAAATCAATAATAATTAGTTTTGAAAAAATGAGAATTATGGGGAGATGGAGTAAATAAAGAGGGGTTATTACTTGATCTCATCGAGAATCGATTCCACTTTTATCTTCTTTGTTTCCATGTCGTCATCTTCATCACGCTCGCGTTTGAAATTTGCTTCAGTTTCATCTTGCCTGAACTCAATGAAAAAGATGGATTAATTCTCTGTCAAATTTAAAAAAAAGGAATAAGTCCAATACGGCATTTTTATTATTCATGCTTAATCCCAATTATCTTCGAATTGAATCATTTTAGATGGAAATAAGAGTAGATCTTTTTTTCAATTGAGGAAATCTTGGACCCACCAGGAATTTTTGATTTTCTATACGGAGAGAAAAATAGATCAAGAATTATTATGCTGCCCACCAACACTGAGACATAAGAAGAGGTCATCGAAAAATTCGTATGTGGAACCCTAATTTTGCGAGGGCTTTGCACCATTTGTTCGTGGAATTTCCGTAAAAATTAGAATTACACATATGACTTCTTCGATGACCACTTCTCATATTCCAGCGTTGGTGGGCAACACACTAATTTTTGGAAGGACTTACAAAATTGTGGTCAATTTTTCTCTCCATGTAGCATAAAATGTACAATTTTTCTAATGATTTAGTCTTTTGACGAGATTCGATCAATCAACTCACTACATTTTACCACATCGATACACATTTTATGAAAAAGTGGGACAAGAAAAGCGTGACTTGAAAAAGATGTGTGGTGTTTTACTTTGGAGTGGAGCTTTTAGACTCTGCCTCAATGCCTTGTGGAATGATTTCCACAACACTGTCGTTCGCTTCTTCAAAAGCATCGAACAAATCTGTGTCGAAATCAGCCATTTGTCTGAATGTTTATAAACATATATCTACTTATTTTCACTTGAATGTTTATGAATTTCGAGGACACGCGTGCACATGCTTTCCGAAGGTTAGATTATTATTATTATTTGATGTTTCGTGGCCCCCACGGTCGTAAATACAGGCAAAGAGGATTGACTAAAGTAGAGGCTCAGATCTCGGGGTTGAAGTGACCCCAAGCCAAAAATAGTTCGACCCCACTGGACTGATGGAGCCACGGTCGAATCTGCCGGCTGGGCGAACCAGAGATAATAATAACAGAGATTATAGGGGAGATGAGCAGGGCCAATGTAAAGTATTCAACAGCAAAATTCGTAGCGGTGGCGCATGGACTACGATGGAGCTACGGAACTGTTGGTATGGTAGGGCCCGAGCATAAATTTGTCGATAACCGGAAAGGGGTTCTCAATACGGTAGCTCCTCGCATTTTGTAATAATTGTCAGGGATGTAAAATCGAACATATTATAATCAATAGTATAATGAATGCAGAATCTAATGATCTAAAAGTCTTTTCCTTTTTCTCGACATATTTATTATTGACACGTAGGTCAAAAAATTCATAGAAAATCCCAGTACTGTCGCTGGAAAACTCTATAATTTTCCAGTGATTCTATTGAATAATTGTGCAGATTTTGTTTTTTTTTTACTATGGTAATGTTCGATTATATATATTTATTCCCCCCCTGAGTGAGAAACGAATATGTATCGCGCTCACTCCCACTCATTGTCGTCTCCGTCGGGTTGGCACGTGCCCGTCCTCCGCCAAACTTAACGAGTGCGAGTGAGAAAGAAAATTGAGAAGAAGGAGAGAGAAATCATTCCAACTCGTTTGAACGGTTGGAACGTTTTCGTTGTTCTCCAGCGATCTACACATAATGGGATTAATTCAATAATAATAGATTAATGAATAAGATTTTTCGCAGATTATTGCGAGATTTAGATGAATGGTTTGTCTCCTTCAGTGACCATAAAAAATTGTCTCCAATCGACAATATCTCCCGATGGAATGGAACGATGTGAATGAATCAAGTATCAATTTGAATCTTTAAAAAATTAATCGAGAGTGAAAAAAAATCAGGGAATTCCACTCTGACATTTCTCTATT